GTTTCAACTATATTTATTCGATTCAATAAATATAAGAGAATGACATTTGTCATCAGAGATTATCTCAAATAAAATATAATTATTAGATTTACCAAATTATCGATAACACAAAGATCCTTGAGATTTATTTTTAGATTTCAAAGGGAGAAAGAAATGATAAATGATAAACTACAAAAAAAAAAGAAACTAAATATAAGTTGAAATGATTAAAATCTCGAGTTAAATGAAAAGTTAAATTTGTTGAATGGTTAAAGATTTTTTTGTATCAATAATTTTTGGCAATTTGAAGGTAAATTTAAGAATGATTATCTAGAAAATGAAATGCGTATAATATAAATATAAATGTATAAGATAAAATGATTACTGTAAGAATGAAACAAGCAATAGAAATAATAATAACGAAGAAGAGAGTTATTGATTCACCAATGAAAAGAATTTTGTTGAAATTATCATAAGTTATGAAATGATCATAAGTTAGGTTTGCAGCAGGTCTAGCTCTGATAGAAAAAAAGATGAGAACAATAATTATAATAGGATATATAATCAATTCAATAATACTCAGCCAAGCAAACTAATAATTATAAATGAATATATCAGTTTCAATTAAAATATTTTCTTGGAACAATATTTATCTAATGTTTTGTTTCAGCTTTTTTCAATAAATCTCAAATATAAACACATCTATCTAACCTGTCGAAACAACTAAAACTGTCAAAAATTATTTTTTTTTAAATAGACATTTTAAACCATGTTCCTAACACGTTGATATTGATTAGTTTTGTCGATGTTTTCGACCTCGAAAAATAACGAAGATTAGTGACATAGAAAGTTTTTTATCAAACATAATTCAGATTTGACTTCCCAGTCGAACAAAGGATGGGTTAAAAGACTAGTCACTTTTCTAATAGTAACGGCAGGTCTTGTTTCATATTTTTCTCAAAACAGACTGGTACATGACCAGTCCGATATCATTTATAGTCCAGAGAACATATCCTGACTACTCGACTGACTGGAGTCATTCTATTTATTATGTCTAGTCATTTTATTGACATATTCAACTATCCTGTCGCATATCCAAAAAGATTTTAAATCGAAAAAGTAAGAGCGTCTGGGACATTGCATACAACGAGTTATAATCTGATGCAGTGATCGAGTCCGAACTAGACTAAATGATAGAAATGTAGAGATCAATGTTAGATCCAAAGGCATATATATTATATCGGGTTTAGAACAGTTGCCCGCCGAATATTTGCTCGGTAGAATACTTGCTCGTAAAAATGCTTTGAAGTAAACATATCTATGAGATATATGAGAATATCCTTTAATATTAACACAAGTAAATGAACAACAACAGAAAACAAACACGAGACTCTAGAAAGATAATAAACGTTCGATATGTTTTAACTGATCGTTGATGTCTGTATGTCAATCTTGAACTAAATTGTGTAATCGTTGGTTTAAGGATTCGTTTTTTCGTTTTTTCGTTTTGATGATTGATCATCAGACATAGTGTTAATGATATTCGAATATATATTATTTTCTTTTATTAATTTATCCATAAATGTCCATAATGTGAGATATTTACATTGAAATGGCCGGTTCAATTTTCGATGCATAGAATTTTTCACACGCGCTGCCATATTCCAGAGATTAATGGGGAATGTTGCTGTTCGTCTTGAGCGTCCCCGAAGACAATCGATGCAGTCAATTTTCTTTTGAATTCTTTCATTTACGATTAAATGGTCATTGCATTCGAGAAAAATTATCCTCGGTAGGAACTATCCGGATCCGAATATATCACTTATCTCTCGATTAGATGATTGAACAATATGATCAAATTATCAACTTCTACATGTCAATAGACATTCTAAGTTATTATTTAATAGAATTTTACTCAGAGTTTCTTTAGTTTTTGATATGAATAAAAATTAGTTAGAGAAAATAAAATAAGATAAATTTAGAAATTATTCTTTTTTTTTTTGAGATAAATTTTGCCTGATCGCTGGAAACTCCATGTTATCAATTTATATTTAAAAAAAACAATTATTCTTATTAAATATAAAAATAAATTAAAAATAGCTTGAAGGTGACAAAAATGTTTTTTTCTACCGTAACTCAAGTTTATTTTAGATTCCAATTTTTGCAATCAAAATTTAAAAATAAACTAAATTTTTGTAATTTAATTGATTTTATAATCTAAATTATTAAGGTTTAAATTAAAAATAAACTATTATTTTAATAGAAAATATTTTATCTTATCCTCTTAATAATAATACCGTTTGATTCTTAGTTAAACCTAATAGGGAAATAATATTTTGTTCTACTAATCTAGTCGAGATATAGTTGCAGAACATTCCTCAAGAAGGATATGCCAAATATTTCAGGGTAGATCTGACTGGTAGTCTGGACACTTTAGACTAATCATATAAGGCGTTCTCACTATATTTTTGCTAGTCTGGGTTAACATTATTTCTATATATGCATCGAAATTATTTTTTAGTAAAGAAAAATGCATTGAAAAAGACATAAAAATAAATTTCGATTGATGAAGATGTTATATAACATAAATTGAGAACTTTTATGATTACAAACTATTCGAATCATTATTTATTAAGGTTAAATCGACAAAAATTTTCTTCTGAAAAAAAGTTTTTTTTTTAAAGTCAGATGAAATTTGTTTTTTGAGTTAAAATAAAATTGATTTTGTTGAAATATATTTTATAAAAACTAGTATATTAAATTAGTGAAAACAAAATATGTAACATACCACTCGTAAACCTTTTTTATTATATTGATGAGGAACGAATATTCCAAACCTATTGAAAACAATTCCAATAAGAGATTGACCAATTTCCATACCACGTTGTGGGTCTTGCATATCAATTCTAAATCCACTTTCAGAAATGGCACTAATCATACCAATCAGAGAAAGAGCCTAATATAGAGGGTGTCCCAAAAGTAAGGAAACACAGAAAAAATTCAATATCTTCATTGCGGCTTGAGCAAGCGAGCTAAGTTTTTTTTATCAATGATGGAACCATCCTCAAGCTTTATATTGATAAAGACATGCCTAAAGAAACCCTTTGTTAATTATTATTATTGATCTCAACAAAAATAATTTACTTTTTCACAGGTCGGAAATAAAATAATATAAAGGACGGTGCAAAAGTGACTTTATCGAAAATAAAATTGAATATCTCCATTACAACTTCAGCCAATGAGCTAAGTTTTTTATAAATTCAAGAGGCACGTTCAAGGTTTATATCCATAAAGGCATGCATAAAGAGATCCTTTGTTAAGTATATTATTTTATTTTTTATCTGTGAAATAGTAAAATTTTTTTGTTAAGATCAATAGTGATACTTGACAAAGGGTCTCGTTAGGGATGTCTTTGTGGATATAAAGCTTGAACATACTTTTTGAATTGATAAAAAAAAATTAGCTCGCTTACTCAAACCTTAATGGAGATACTCAAGTTTTTCTGTGTTTCCTTACTTTTGAAACACTCTCTATAATATATATATATATCATCAATTAAAAATAGATTATTAGAATTTCTATGAATAAATTTTGAAAATTTCTCTAAGAGTATGAATACTGTTAGAGAAAGACTATATTATCGATTTAATAAAACTATGAAACAATTTTATTTAATAAAATAACCTTTAGATTAGAATGAAACATAGTTGATTTTCATGTTTATTCAATAGATGAAGATAATCTTACATTAATTCGAATAAATCTCTTATCTTATCTTATATTATGTCAGAATTGAGTAAAAGAATAGTTAAAAAAAAACGATTACTCTTCTTAATTTATAAAAACCATTGATTATTTATTGTTTTTATTTATTTAAACAAGATGATTAATGTATTTTTATTAATAATATAGTTTATCTCAATATTTTTTCGAAAAACTCAACCAAAAAAGAATTTCTTTTTAAAAAAAATAATTCTTCGAAAATTTTTGAATTTATCTCTTTAAATAACTAAAGAAAAATAATCTCGAACTATAATAAAATTCCAAATATATTTATTTGATTATTTCATTTTCATGTTACTTTTAAAAAGTATCTATTCTTTTTCATATTATCTAGTTCATATAGATATAAAAACACTAAAAATTTACAAGACACACGCCAACTATAATTAGAAGAATTTTACGAGTTCGTTCTATTTCAGGATCTTCATTCAATGACAATGGTATGGATATAGGTATATAAGGAGTATTGATCATACCCACTTTTTCACTTCCTTGTTCGTATTGCATTTTTATTATGCGTCGTTTAATCTGTAGAATAACCGATGGAGAATACAGATTATCGAATTAGTAATAACGAGAGAAAAAGAATAAAAAATAAGCGAGATGGTATCTTTTCTCCCGTCGAATTTATTACATACTATAGAGAACAGCAAAAAAAAAAACAAGTCGATACTAATCGTAGTAATGCATTCCTATGCACAGAAAAATAAGGGAACTAATAAAATAGTATACTCTACAACTTTCAGCGTCATCAGAGTATATTGACATTTGATCTAGTCAAAAAAAAAAACAACGGATGTTTCTTCAATTTGATTTATTCCATGCAATGATTGAAAATATTTATTCTTTTTAGATTTTTTTTCTCTTGATGATAATCGTCTACACTTCGTTATCGAAATAAATTGTCGAGGTATATTCTGTAGTTTGATGTTTGAAGATTTTACCATTCTTTCAAGAATCTAATATGGTGATTGTACTATTTCAATCCGAATAAAAGAAAAGAATAAATATACTCAATCATCAATAATATTAATATTATTTCAGTTTTAATTACTCTTCCACAATAGTTTACATTTATTTAAAACAAAATTAATTTCAAACTGTTTCGAATGTATTAGCTTTTTTTCTTCCGTGGATTTTAGCAATAAAATATAACAGAAGAAAATGATAAATGTAGAATTGTTTATATATGTTTTATTATGTTAGTATCGAATTCTTTGCCCTAAATAAATCTTTTCATTAGAGCTCATTTAAACAGGTTTTTTTTTTTGACTGACTATCAATGATAATTTTATATCAGAATGTGTACAATTAACAATATTCTATTAATAATTGAATATAAAAAAATCTTTAACCCATATTTAATTGATTAAAATAAAAAATTTAATACTCTGAAGATTCTAAAAATATGACAAGAATATTATTTACATGATTAACTAACTTTTTTTTGCTCTTCAATTTATATTAACAAGCATCAATTGACATTATCAAAAGTTAATCAATAATCAATAATCAAAAATAAGTAGTTAAATGTTCGATTAATAGATGGAAGTATTCTATAAGAATATATATCCTATTTATATAATAGAATTTATTCTACCTCTTATATCAATATCGATGTCAAATGAAAAAAATATATCTCAATCTTCCATTAAACAATTGAATAGAGGATAGATCTACTTATGCAAACATAAATCATTTTCATGCTTTTCTCTAAATTGATTATCTTATTGAATATGTGATTATTTTTATCATGGGAAGAAAATAAGTTCTAAAACAAAATGAAAATATGTTATACTATCGAAATAAATGTTAATTGGTTAATAAGATTTAAGACTATTTTTGTCAAGACGTTAACTATAGAACAAATTTGTATAATTGATATTGGATATGAATTTTGTTTTTACGTTATACGATTTAGAAGATGAAAATAAGCGGAAACAAAAACTCTAATCAATATGAATCGTTTTTGTCATTTGATAAAGAGTAGACAAATAATATTGATCGATTTAATTCAATGATTTCAATGATATGTTATCCACTTGAGTTTTTCTATTTATGATTATCTTATTTAAATAAATAGGGAGGAATTTTTCGAAAATTAATATCTAAGAGAATATTTATCCTAAAATTGATTTCATATATATTTTTAATTTTGATTAAAATCATTTTTTCATCTTTAGAATAATTGAAGAATATAAAAATGATTTTTTTTGTTCTAAATAAGAGAAAAGCAAAAGTTCCTATTTGAAATGAAAATATCTATAATAATTCAATAATATATTTTGTTAGAGATACGAATATAAAATAAAAACTAATCTATCAAAAGAGCTCTTCATAGAGAATATAAAATAAATTAATTTAACAAATATCTATCGAATTAAATAGATTTTAATTTAACTAAAACAAAATGATTATCTTTTCTAGAATAAACAATTTTAAATGATCGAAATTGTGATAACTCAATATTGATCTATATAAATTTTAAAATAATTATTATGATTAAAACTAGCTCTTCAAATTTATGTTAACTTAGTCAAAATGATCATTGGTTTTATTTTCGAATTGTCTAGAATTTAATATGAAGGAAGAAAAACAATAGATTGATATAATAAAATATCTCTATACTATAAGAAGATTTTTTTAACAACTGTCTTGTATTAACAAATATATAAAGATATTTTACATCCCAGAAAATAAAATTATTTCTTGATTGAGAAACTTTTTTTCTTGATAAATAATATTGTTAACATTCGACAAGGCAAACATTAAAAAAAAACGTTTAGCCTATTCAATAAAACTGAATTAAGAAATAAAGTCATTCTACTAAACTCTAGAAGTCAAGGTTATCATCAAATTAACATAGTATGAAATAATATTATATATTCGATTCGTTTTTTTTCTCAATCTAATTAATTCTATTAGAATATCTATATAATTATATACAAGTTTTATCATTTGATTTTTTAAACTTTTCATAAAAATAACGAACCTTTCTTAGTCATTCTCTAATGATTATTATTTAAATCTATAATGACATAGTCACATTTTTTATTCTAGTTAGAAGTTATTCAATCTTTTAGTCAAACAAACATTATAATGTTTTGGAATCATGACGAGAAGTTGAAATAAAATCTCTAAGACGATCAACTAGATGAAAGTGTTCATTGAGATAACCTATTGTATAAGTAATATACATTAGGAGACCCCATAGTTTAGCATAAAATGAACCATCACACCCAACTATTATTCCATATATACTCAAACTGAGACCAACAATTAATTGCCAAGCACCTAACACAACAAGAATTGGATATGCATTCCAGACACCAACAAAATGTGGATACATAAATGTATGCAGAAGTGAATTAGAAACAATTGTTGGCCATTCATATGATACATCACCAAGTAAACTAGCTAATACTACTGATGGTGTTGTTTGATGATGCCAACGAAAATGCATAAGTACTGGGCTTTTATTTAAAATAACAAAGTAAATATCAGTAAATTCCCATAATTTACTCAAATAGAATATATACCAAATAAGAGCATATGAACCTTTTGGTGTTGATCTATGACATAATAATCGATTCCAAGAAATAAATCTATAATCTCTATATGCTATTATATTAGTTAATAGAAAAGTAACACCTGAATATATACCAATAAGCAAATTATTATAACGTTGAATACGACGTAAATTTATTGGTTTAGTACGATTAGCCATTAACATTTCTAAACTACATGTTATTATGAAATGAATAATCGAAATAAAAACAAGAAATTTCAAAGATGTCAATGGTGTTCGACCAGGTACAAATACAAAATCATCAGGATGCCACATTACTACGAAAAAAAAACTCGAACTTAGAAATAGTAATCTGTTTAATGTTATATATTGGTATAAATTTACACATAAAAAATATATTTCTATGCTTACCGATTATTGAAATAAAAGGTTCTTCTTTTTTTTTTCTCACACTTAAATATGTGAATAGTAGTAGTTTTATTCTCACTTTTTGTTTCTGTTCTTATTTATAGAGGTTGAAGGATGGTGCAATACTTGATAACAAGTTATATCTTATTTCATCATAATTATATCGTCATGTTACATTAGCTCAGGATAGGTGAGTTACGTTTTCGTTCGAATTCAATTCATTATAACCAATGATTATTATATTATCCGAGAATTTTTATCTTTCTCAGGGACACAACTTGTTCAACTTTGTCCAACTTTTTCCAAATAATAAACCGAAAATCTTTCTCAGATAATAAACGCTACAGATAATAACAAGAAAATAGGAGTTTTTTAATTGATTGTCTTTTCTATTATATATGAGTTGTTATGATATACTCTTACCTTGACATTGATTCTGTCTAATCTACAATTTATTTCGTTTTATTATACTTAGGGCATTCAAAAACTAGTGATAATAATAGTTTAATACTCTATAGTAACCTTGAAGAAATATTCCTTTTTTATGTGATCATAGAGAAAAAGAATATTTTTTTATTATTATTTGAGTTCGAAAATCCTCAAGAATTCATCACTGGCAGAATTCCAAGAGATGTCATAATAAAAAAATTAGCCTGAAGATAAAGTAGCAAATCTGGTTACATAATGGCTCTTATAAACTTTTTTTTTATTCGAATGAATAAATTGATTTTATTGGTTCTTTCCATAAAAAATATTTTTATCATCTTAATATAATATAAGGAAAGTTTCAACTATATTTATTCTATTCGATAAATATAAGAGAATGACATTTGTCATCAGAGATTATCTCAAATAAAATATAATTATTAGATTTACCAAATTATCGATAATACAAAGATCTTTGAGATTTATTTTCGGATTTCTCGATAAGAAAGAAATAATAAATGATAAACTAGAACAAAGCGTGGATAGAAGTTAAAAATGATTAAAATGTTGAGTAAATGAAAAGTTAAACTTGTTGAATAGGTAAAGATTTTTTATGATTAATAATTTTTGCCAATTTGAAGGCAAATTTAACAATGATTATCTAGAAAATAAAAAAACGTCTAATATAAATATAAATGAATAAGATAAAAACTTACTGTAAGAATACAATCAGGTATATATAAAAAAGCGCAAAAGAAAGGTCCTTTTTGCGTCTTAATTATGCGAGTGGGATTTTCCCCGTAAAGAGTAGATAAGTTAATGTCATTTGAATTTGTCATACCAATGATGAACAAAGCTAGGATTACAATTCCAACTATAATCAGTGTTATTATATTCAACCATGCAAACTAAAAGTTAAATATTAATATATCAGTTTAAATAGAAAGATTTTATTCGAAAAAAAAAAAAAATCTAAGATGTTGTTTTAGCTATTTAAATGAACTATCGAATATTGATGGATATGTAAAAGATCTCGAAATAAATAAAATTGTCAAAAGTCGTTCTATTTTTATAGATTTAAAAAAAAAAGGCTGATCCTATCGTCTTTAAATTGATTCATTTTGTTGATGTTTTCGATCTCGAAAAGTAATGAAGATTAATTCGATAGAAAGTTTTTCATCGAAGATAGTTCCGATTTGAGTTTGTATTAGTTATATATCTATATGAATAAAATTCATTGAAGAGCGTACGAAAAAATATCTAGATAAATTAAGAGATGATATTATATTAAATGATAAATAAACTGATTGTTGATTCAATGTTATATCGAATGATATATAACTGATTGTTTTATTTTATTTGATGAGAAGAATTTAAACAAATTATTCTCATCTCAATTGAAGATATATTAATAAACTATTTTAAACGAAGATCTTTTTTGAAAGATACTCCTTCGATAGATTGACAAAAAATAATTTCTATGATTATAGAATATTCGATTGATTAGTTAATCAGACAAAATAGATAGAAATTATATTTGAAAAAGTTTTTAAAGTCAAATGAAATTTATTTTTGAAAGTTAAAATAAAATCGATTTATATGAAATATATTCTATAAAAGGATAATTCTATATTGAAAATAAAAATAAAAAAATCTAACATACCACTCGTAAACCTATTTCAGAATATCGATAAACAACGAATAATCCAAATGTGTAGAGAATAATTGAAATAATATATTCAATTATTTCTGCAATATGTCCATTACCAATTAAACAGATATCGATTGTAGGTCCAAATATAACATTTATCATACCACTCAGAAGAATACCCTAGAATATTTATATTTTATATTAATTTAATTCAAATTTTTATAGATCAATCTTGAATATATTTTTAACAATATCAATTTTATTTTAGATAGATTATTATGGATTTTGTCTAGATAAATATCTTCTTTTATTCTCAGATTATCTCACAACTTTATTTGAGAATGGTTAAAAACAAATTCTACTTTACTTTACTTTAACTAGAAAAACATTCCTCTTCAGTTATTTATCTTGCTGATTCGACCTAACACTCCTAATTTTGACACTTTTTTCTCAGATTTTTAAACTAGATGATAAATATGTTTTTCTACATAAATAAAAGTAACGGTTGTCGTTGCGATTTGCTTGATACTCGACTGAATATTCAACTCCCACTCTACAATTTCCTACTTTATAAATCCAATCGATACCAACATCAAAGGTATCTATGAGGATTGATGCGGCTATGAATAAACATACTCTTCTTCTCTCTATCTATTCAATCAATTATAATTATATTTTAATTCACGGACAAGTCGAATCACAATCAGATTGAGAGACCAGATCTAATTGAATCAAAAGAAAACTTTTTAAAATCTGATTAAACTAAAGTTGGACGTTGAAAACATTCGATTGTCAATATTCTCATTCTGTAAAGCACGTCACTTTAGATATCCAGGAGAATAAATGCAAACATAGAAACTGATTTTATTTGACATGACTCTCTCTTCAGTCGAAGGAATAGATAATTATTCTCAATTTTTTTTTTTTTCGAAAATCCTTCAATTTGTCGATTTGAATATTTAAAGAAAACTAATCTTGAACTATGATAAAATTTCAAATATATATCTGTTAAGTTCATTTTCATATAACTATAAATATATTATTTTTCTTGTTAATGTTATTTATATAGATATCAAACAAAACAAGAGAAAAAAACGAAAATTTTATTCGGATTATTAACAAATGATAATCAAAGAGAAAATAAAAACTTACAAGACACACGCCAAGTATAATTAGAAGAATTTTACGAGTTCGTTGTATTTCAGGATCTTGATTGAATGGGAAGAGTTTGGAAAGAGGTTGATTATAACCATCCATCATATATACTTTTTCATTTCCTTGTTTGTATTGCATATTGATGTTGCGCAGTTTAGCCTTAAGAATAAATGCAAGAGAACACTAAGATAAAGTAACTAACAACGAAAGGAAAAATAACAAGCGAGATAATTCCTTGTTTTCTCCCTTATTATCGATTATATATTATATAGAACAGCGGAAAAAAAACCAAGTTGATACTGATTATGGTAATACAGTGCGCTAGGCATAGAAAACAGAAAAACAACAGAACTAAGAAAATCGTATACTCTACAACTTTCAACGTCATCAGAGAATATTGACGATTGACCTTGTCAAAAGCAAAAAAAACGAATGGTTCTTCAATTTCAATAATTTTGTGGAAAATTTGAAAATTCTCAGTATATTCTCTACTAATTCTAAAAAAATTGCAAAATTATTAAAAAAAGTGATACGAAACGATGATAACTATTAATCTATAGTATAAGAATCTCTGTTTAATTTCCATTGAGCTAATCTTATTTATTCTTTAACTAATAATTCCTAGAGAATCAATTATAAGAAAAGACACTGCTCAATCAGATTATAAACTTGTCATTTCCTTAAGGTTCACTTTCAATAAGTTAGAAAGATAAAGCAGAAAATTTTGCATATTTCTCTTTCCATTTTGTTTTTGTTTTATTAAATGCCTAAAAAAAATGTTGAGGTCTAATTAGTCTTAGGGTCTCTATCAGTTTTTCATGTTTTTCTATAATAAGGTATGGTAACCATTAGTTTTTATTTTTCAAATT